CCTCCCTCCTTCCTGTCTCTACTACATCATATGTTCACCAGGAAATATTTGTCCGGTTCCATGATCAAAACAACAGCATTCATCTCTTTCTAGACCTAATAATTAATAATACTAAATATTGTTTGACATTTAAAGTCAGGCAAAATATCTGTGATATCAGTGCAGTGTTTGTTTATTTATGTAGGCCAAACACAAAGTTGGTGAAAAGGATTTTCACATCATTTCTCCCCCCCAGTTAACCAAACCTGTCATCACTTTTGAAACGATGGAATTTTAAAGCAGCTGTTACCATTTTTGCTGCACAGTTTCTACAATTAAAACAGTAGAACCCAACCCCTGGCATTATATGTGTCTAAAGGACGAAGCAGTGATTTAGAACAGAAGAGAAAATACATTGGTTCACACAACTAGCAAATGAATTATGTTGACGGTTAGAGTCTAACTGATGGGAGGATTACAGGAGGATTATAGAACTCACTTTAAAACTATTGTCTGTTTCTGCTTATTTATGTAATATTGATTTGATTGTAACAGATCTGGTTAAACGATTCACTAGGAATGGAGCTGGAATAAGGGAATGCCAATACTGTGTTAATTCCAACCTACATTACACTGGTTCCATCAAACTGCCAGACTTTAATTTTCTATCTCCTCTGAAACACGTTCTGCTCCACTTTCTCCAAACTCCAGAACATTGTCAGTGCTTTGCTTTTAATGTCATATTAGGCCCTCAGCCTTCAAGTTCTGTGGCAAATATTCTCCTTTTTAAATACTTAACATAGTTTACAACTGAATTATTTGCAATTTTTTTTAGGAAAGCCCAAATGAAAAAGGTTACATTTGTCCTGAAATCTGTTGAGTTCACAGTATTGCCAACACAGGATCTTTCTATAGTTTGTAAGTAATAACTAGGACCCTTGTGAAATCCCCGACCTTATCAGACTACTCACTAAATGACTATTGTATAATATAATACTTTTACTGTACATTTCACCAATCGGTAATACACTATATTTATGTGTACTGGAAATATAAATCGACACAGTAACAATAAATATTCCATCTTTGCTCATAAGTTCCTTGTAAAATATGATCCAATCTGCTTTCCCTGTTTAAGCGATGTAATGGGCACATTCGTCAAGGCAGTGAACTGCTGTTGTTTGTGTTTCACACTGATTGCATTTTAATGCCATCTTGGATGTTGAAGATCGTAACATGGTTGGGTCATTGAATGCATGGGTTTTCAAGCATAGCTTGTTCCATTGCAGAATGCAGCTTAAAATGAAACACAGCTGTCAGGGTACAATTCTAGCATTCATAACATAAGACATCAAAGGACCATTCTGCTTTGTAGATAGAATGGGACTTGACTGGGGTTAAACACATGTTGAAAGAACCTCCACAACTAGCTGGAGTTTCCTTTAACATTTTACGTCTATAAGAAAATTGGGTGCAAATTTGCTTGTTCAAAGGGGCATTGATGTGTCAGTGAGAAATGCTCAGTAAGACTCATACCCTTAAACAGCTAATAAAACGTTAGTTCAGAAAACTCTGTTTCTCAACATCATCATGTTGAATATCAGCGTAACATTCTGCATATAGTTTCTGCTGCTTTCTGACTTCTCACACTGCTGATTGTTTGGGTTTAGGCCAACTTCGAATCTGCTTTTGCAAAAGTATAGCAGAATAAGGATTTTCGACTTGATTTCGTCTTGTCAAAAGAGCTCTGCTGGCAAGCTTTGGTGGATAAACTACATTAGAACTTAATTCATCATCCGGTAAAATAAGATCAGAGATTTAATATTGTACAATTTTTAAACATTTTCTACTATGTAGTAAATGAGGCATGAAAACCAGAAAGTCCCAGGTTCAATCGCTGATCTTCTCTGTCACAGGTTTATGGGTGTTGCTACTAACCTTAGCATCCCTTGGCTGGGGAAAGAACAAACCAGCCAATGTTATCCCTTGTAAATCATTGTTCAGTAATCCTCCTGGAATTGGACATCAGGTGAGAACAAGATCGGTGTCACCTCAGATGCTCACTCTTTCACCCTTCTGCTCATTTTACACGCCTGCCCTCAACTTTACAATAATAATAATCCTTGCGTTTGATATAGCGCCTTATCAAGTCATCGAGACATCTCAATGCACAGAATATATTCCAAAGTGGATTGAATGTCTATTCTATGAGCGAAACACTGCATCCAGTTATGCACAGCAGTGTCCCATAAACAGTCATGGATTGAGGGGAGTAGGGATTATTTATTTGGGGGGGAAGAGATTATTAACCCCAGAAAAGTGATCCGCCAATCGACTAACAACCAGGGTCCTACTTACTGCTACATAAACAGAGGTGTGTGGAGAAAGGAAGCTTGCCTAAGGTTTCTCGCTGCCAAGGATCAAAGCTGGATAGGGTCCATCTTAGAACATATGAACAACTGATGTAGCACAGGGGCTACTGACATCAGGAAGAAAGAAACTTTAGTGGTGGAAAGAGTATTGTTATCGGGCCACTGACGGTTTTGAAATTAAATATGTTTCAGGAAAAATATCACACTAATACACCAACCTGTAACGAATAACTAAATTTTTAGAGTGCACCTTTTAAATGTCATTTAAAATGACAAGTTGTGAAGATATTTAGGATAGAATAATGGATGATAAGGAATGATCATGAGACTGTAACCCCATTAAAGGAATTTGGTGATATCTTAGAGAGCAACACTCCAGTATTTTGTTCCGTCTTTTAGACCTGAAGTAGCCCAGCCAGCACAAATTAATAGAAGATCACTAGGATGTAGGATCTTCCTATAGATTTATATGAATAAATAAAGAAATAACCCTTCCTCTTCCCCCATCCTGTATCTTAGTTGTTAGAGCATTCACCTGGCAAGCGAGAGGACTTTGATTCGATTCCCAGGCAGGGTGAAACGTTAGGCAAACTTCCTTACTCCACACACCTCTGTTTACCAAGCAGTAAGTAGGAACCCGGTTATTATTCGATTGGCGGATCACTTTTCTAGGGGCATTAATCCCTTAAAAAAATATTAATTATAATTTGGTCACTCAATCCACGACTGTTTGTGGGACACTGCTGTTTGTGCGCAATTGTCTGCCGCGCTTTGCCCACAAAATATACAATCAATTCACTTTTACAGTATATTCTATGAAGTGCTTTGAGACGTCTCGAAGACGTGATAAGACCCTATATCAAATACAATGATTATTTTATTATTTATCTCAGGACAGACACCTGAAAACCTGACAGCTAAAAGATTTCAGCTTGAGAAAAAAACGGTGCTTTGGCATCTGCCTCAGAAATGTTAACAGACAAATACCACAATACCGCAATGTGAATTTGGAAAACATTTCCTCTGAAAAAGCTCCAATGCTTGACATGAGAAAAACATGAGAATAACCACCAAAAGTCAGGCATTTTAAAGCCACAAGATAAATATTGTATAATGGAGCTGATCTCTAAAACAGTTCTGTTGCGTGGAATTTTTGTTGCTCTGCATCTGTATCCTTTCTTTTCTAAACAATTAATTTATATATAACATTTTGCTGAACCATGAAGCTGTGAACACCTAAATGACTAATATAACAAATGAAGGTTTAATGACCACATGTGAAGGAGTTGGCAGCATTTCATCCTTTGCCGATATTTCGCAAAATTACCCTGGGGCTAGTTTTGCTACAGCTCACAGGCTCTGAAAAATGATGCCTTTTAACGAACTGGAGCAGATCACTGGGGTGTAGAACCCATTTCCTTCACAGCAGAAAAACGGCATGGACTTTCGTTCCACAAAGTTTAATCTAGTAGAATGTAAATAGTATGATCGAGATAGAGGAATTGATTGGCGGATCACTTTTACAATACAATCTGAAATGGCTATATATAATAATAATCCTTGCAATTGATACAGCACCTCATCACATCTTTGAGACATCTCAAAGCGCTTCACAGAATATACTGTAAAAGTGAATTGACTGTATATTTTGTGGGCAAAACGAGGCAGCCAATTGCGCACAGCAGTGTCCCACAAACAGTCATGGATTGAGTGACCAATTTATTATTATTTTTTTTGAAGGAATTATCATCCACGGAAAAGCAATTCGCGAATCAACAAACAACCAGGATCCTTCTTACTTCTAGGTAAACAGAGGCATGTGGAGTAAGGAAACTTGTCCAACGTTTCGCCCTGCCGGAAATCGAACCCGGGTCTCTCGCCTACGAGCCAAGTGCTCTACTCCTATGCCTTTGGTAAGAATTGCTACAAGATTCTGTCAGAACTGCCTCTCTCCTCCCTCTCCCCCTAAACAAAATAGGAAGACAGCAAGATCAAAGTGGACTGTCGAGCACAATAAAAACTCAACTTTGTGTGGAATTTTAGTTACATATATCTGTCTGAACTTTGAACCAAACACCAGTAGGTTCTCCCACTGTACTGGCAGACACCCCTCCACCCCCACGCCCCCACCCCCGGAAAAAAAGGACATTGATTTCATGGCTGTTTGTGTGACACATTGCTGAATGCAAGACCGGTTGCCCCATTCATCAAGTACACAAGTACGCAGTCACTTTACTTCATAGAAAGCTGAATTGTGAATTGCTATGAGATGTTTGGATGTGCTAATGTGCAATAGTAAATGCAAGAATTATTAATGCAAAGGAACTCTCGTTAGTTTTAGCAATTTTTGTTTTTTTCTCTCTGTTGACTTTTTTTAAAAAAATTCACATTGACGGCCAGTAATATCAACATGCCGTTTTTTATAAAGTCATCTTGATGTCTTCAAACAGAGCTACATACACACATACTCAGAAAACCCTCTTTCTCTCGCTCTCCTCCTACTCTGCTCCCCCCACCTAGAAGTTGAGAACCAGTTTTTCACACTCATTCTATATCCCTTGAAAAGTAGTTTACACACACTTTCATAAGTTTAGACAAGCTCCACATAATACTAAAGAGGCTTTGTTCGCTTCTGCTCCCCACACTTACAGTTCTCAGGCCTTAGTTGTGTAGGTGTCAGTTTGCTTGAGTTTTCCAGTGATTTGTTAATACAAAAATCTAAATATTCAGGAAGATTCTTGCTTAGTTTGACAAATTGATTTCTGATAAATGAGTCCTAGGGTATATTTTAAACTGTTGTGAAACAGAACGGTCCTACGTGAGGTAATAACTTTGCAGAGCAGTTAGGTTGACATTGAGGACATACATACCTTTCGTGCCCTTATTGCAAACTTGCTGTTAATTAATCACAGACTTAATGTATTGGCACAACTAGTAACAGTAACCAATTAAGGAGCTTGTGTGACTGAATTAAGCTGATCAGCTGTTTTGATGCAGTTAAGGTGATATTGTAATGGTAAATAGAGAAAAAATGGAAAAAAGCACTTTGTAAACTACTTCATTGTATTGCTTAGCACAGAGTAACGTACTCAGTGAAGAAATGACAACCAAGGTCAAAAGATGTTATGTTTGCCATACAACTCAAAATGTTAAATTTCAAGACACAGATACACATTACAACACTATCTGTGTCCATTTTTTTAAAAAGAAAAGGATCTGACTGAAGAAGTAAAGTAAAACAACTATGTTTTTTTTAAAAAAGGGGGGAGATGGGGGGTTTCCACAGTAAAATAATTTGCTGACCTGAGTGGAACACGGTCATTAACTTATCTGAATGCACTAATTCTCATGGGCTGATGGCAAGAATTCTTGTCTGTTGGCAGCCCTTTGATGTGTTCACACGAAAACCTAGATCACAGATTGACCTTGTCAAATCTATGACGTGTGCATGTCAATCATCCACTGTTCTGTTGTTTGACTGAAAACTTCTTCCAAAATTGGAAAATGAGAGATGAGGAAAATTAATCAATAATCTTCTGTAATTAACAGAGCAAAGAAGCAGTGGCGTACTCTAAGTCAAATCAAAGCCTTTGCTATTAGCCAGGGCCAAATGTAAATACACAAGGTTATACATTGTGAAACTTTCAGTGATCAAGGTGGGCCGATCAAGACTATCTTTGCAAACGGTAATGAGAAAATACGAATTTAGCTGTGCTCTACATGCAAGAGAGCAGCAGGTATTTTAAATGAAATGAAAGCTGCTGAAGTCAAACGTAATAATGTTTCTTTTTTTTTAGAGAAAATAGTGGTGGGTGCAAGTCAATGGTTTGGACATTTTACAGGGTGGTCCCTGTTTCCTGTGCCGCATAAGTATAAAGTCAATGGAAGGTTAAGTTATAATGACATCCCAGGGCACTCAATCAGACTGGAGAGGGCAGTGACAACTTAGATAAAGGCGCTTACAGATAGAGCCGTTCAGTACGACAGGACCCTGTTTAATGACTAATAGATGTGACTGGGGGCGTTTTGTTGGTGATTGCTTTAGGCAAGTTATTATGAGGGATATAAGGATGAGCCAATTGAGCTGTGAGTATGTAGCACAAGCCCAAGTTGGGGTTCATAGAGCTCAATTACTCTGCTTCTGAAAGAAGTATGCATACCCTGCCAAGTAATTGTGTGTTAAAACTATCATATCCACTCAATTCTATAAAAATATTATGGAAACTATGAAGGGAAATTTGAGATGTTGCATAATAATTAACACAATTAGTCATTAACCATGATAATTAACACACAAACTAGGTTATGAAACATTGAAACTAATCATATCCATAGGAACATAGGAAACTAGGACCAGAAGAGGTCATTCAGCCTATCGAGCCTCCACTTTATCAGATCCTGGCAGATCTTTTATTCTCATACCCCATAATACCTCTACTACCAAAGTATCTGTCCAGCTCTCTAAAAGAGCTGTGGAAACTATTGAGCTATAAAAAACGTGTATTAATATTGGCTTCAACCACCCCATTTAACCTAATACTAGAAGCTGCTCCATTTCGCATTGTTTCACATGGTAATCATATTAATCTGAGCCACAAGTATATTTGCAGTGAAACACAGAATCACATAAACCACATATCACGTCAAATATGCCCATTCAGAAAATGCAGGTGTAAAAGTCCCAACACACTTCAGAGAGGGAGAAGGTCAGGCATATTTAGCCTGAAATTTCACCTACATTTAGCCTATAAGGCCATTTTTGTCTTATGATGTATATGGCGCAAAATTGTGAAAACGTCTTAAATCCAGTTTCCATTTGGAAGATGGATTTCTGCAATTCTTAAAAAGAACCAGCTTCGAAGGTGCGACTGAGTTTAAGAATTTCAGGCCTTTTATTAGGATAGAGTAAAGGAAGTATTTTGCTATCTTGAATTTTTATGTGACTTAGGAATGCCTGCCTTTCTGACATAATCACAAACGCAATCATGGACCGCAACACTCAAAAAAATTTAAAACTTACCTTAACTACAAGTATGAGCCAAGTATGAGCGTAAACTGTTTTTTCCAACTAAAGAGAGCAAGTGAAAAGTAATGATTGCCAGAGTGCATTTGGAAATAAACATTTTCTTGCAGTGTCAATTCCAGAAACATTGACAAAAGATAGAAAGTTCCACTTTTTCAGGGACAGAAGGTATCCAATCCCACTGTTTAATTGACCCCGACTAAGTCATTCAGTGCATTAACTCAAACTGATCCAATTCAGGCCATTTCACATTTGTAATTGGATCTGTACTCATCCCTAACTGGTATAAAATCTCCAGTGTAAATGAAAAAAATGCCTTCAGGCAGAATACGCAACACGATTTTATGGAGGAAGTAATGGAGTTTCAGTCAGATAACCTTGTTACCAGACACAGAGAGCAGATTGAAAAGTGATTTCCCTGTGACCTGCAGAATGAGCTACATACTTCAGCGCTGAAAGACTTGGACTAATTCAATCGCTTTATAATTAAAACTGTTAATTATGGCCCAGAGTCTTTCTTTACTAATTCATCTTGATTTATCTTGGTTGCTAATAATTAACTGACCTTCTGGAGTTGACAATTCTTGAAATATATGTGCTTATATTAAACTAGTAAATAATTCCTTTTATAAAACCAGGTAAAAAGAGAAACTGTGAATAAGTTATGTGCATAATATTATGCTACAAATTTGTCCCACTCCTTTGAATGACTGTTTTAAATCCCATGATAAAATCAAACATCCCATTACAAAGTCTTCCCAAAGAGAATTCTATTTTTAACGACAGGCTGTTCTTTTAGGGAAGAAAACCTCTGCAAAATAAAATTATCTGCAGCTATTATTTAAATGTTATTTGAAAAGTCTGATAGAATATTATTTCACATGCTTAAAGCACAGCTTAGGATGACAGTAGTGGATTTTACCATTGTTGACTGCAGTTATCCACAGTGCAAAGATGCATTATAAGGTACATTTGTGGCAATTTTGTAATGTTGACAGCTTCTTGAACAAAGCTTCAATGCATTTTTCACTGGCCTCATTGGTTCAAATCTTCCACAAGCCTCAACTCACTCAGAACGCTCAGCCTGAGTCTTCTCCCTCACAAGCAAGGTACTGTACTCCTATTACAAAATACACAGTCAATTCGCCCACAAAACACACAGTCAACTCACTTCACAGTATATTCTGTGAAGTGCTTTAGATGTCTCGAAGACGTGATAAGGCGCTATATAAAATGCAACAATTATTATTATCTCCATTCTTGCTGAACACATTCTTGATTGTTTGTGGGACATGCTGTTCACAAATTGCACATTTGCCTACAAAATACAGTCTCTATAACAACAACAATAACAACAACAACAACAAAATTACATGTGTATAGCGCCTTTCACGTCAGGAGGACATCCCAAGTCACTGGACATTCAGTGTTTCAGACCCAAACTGGGGTTCGGGATTGGGTAGGATGGAGGGTGGGGGGAAGCAGGGTGATCGAAAGCACGGTCGAAGAGGAGAGTCTTGAGATGGGTCTTGAAGGAGGCAAGGGAGGGGGCGAGGCGGAGGGACTGTGGAATAGAGTTCCAGAGGGTAGGGGCAGAGTGGTAGAAGGCATGCCCACTAATGGTGGGCAGGCTAGGCAGGGCACGTGAAGCAGGCTGGAGCCCACTGAGTGAAGGGAGTAGGCAGGATGGTAGGGGGTTAGGAGGTCGCAGAGGTAGGAGGGAGCAAGGCCATGGAGGGCTTTGAAGGTGAGGACCAGGATCTTGAACTGTATCCTCTGAGTGATGGAAAACCAGTGGAGTTGGGCGAGGATGGGTCTGATAGTGTTGTGGAGCCTAGTGCAGGAGAGGACATGGGTGGCAGAGTTCTGGATGATCTGCAGCCTGTGGAGGGAGGAGTTGGGGAGGTTAACAATCAAGAAGTTTGCACAGTTAAGCCTCGATGTAATGAATGCGTGTATGAGGGTTTCGGCGGCCTGCGGTGTGAGACAGTGACGGAGCCGGGCGATGTTGCAGAGCTGGGGGAAAGCAGAGCGGGTCATGGCACGGATGTGGGGTAGAAAGGATAGTTGAGGGTCAAACAAGATGCCAAAGTTCCAGACTGGCTTAATAAGGTGGAGTGTGCAACCATGGATGGTGATACTGTCAGCGCCTGAGGTGTGGAGGCACTAATGGGAGCCGATTAGAAAGGCCTCGGTCTTGTAGAGTGGTCAACAGTGTCGAAGGCAGCAGAGAGGTCAAGGAGGACGAGGAGGCAGAGGGAGCCCTGGTCGCAGATAGACAGAATGTCATTTGTCACTTTGACCAGGGCTGTTTCTGTGCTGTGGGCGGCACGGAAACCCAATTGGAGGGGTTCGTGAAGAGATTGGCGGGAGAGGAAGGAGTGAAGCTGGGAAGCAACAACTCATTCCAGGACCTTGGCGAGGAAACGGAGGTTGGAGATGGTGTGGTAGTTTGAGAGCAGGAATGGGTCCAGGGAGGATTTTTTAAGTGATGACAGATATTTTTAAAGGGATGGGAACGGTACCAGCGGACAGTATATTCTGTGAAGCGCTTTTAGACATCCTCCTGACTTGAGAGGTGCTACATTATTAGTGTTTTTATACATCTAATGGATTAATAATCCCTCCAAAAAAACAAAAACAATAATAAATTGGTCATTTTCAATCTACGACTGTTTGTGGGACATTGCTGTGCG